TAGGAATAGAACAAATGAGGAAAACGTTCTTTGGCGGTGTTCAAAATGGCGGTGAGATTTCGCCATAATTGACCTCCCTGATGCTGAAATAACATATTTTCTCTTGAATCCCAACGTTCAGTGCAATCTAAACGGTTCGTAATGAATTTATAGACTCTTGAGCAGCTCCAAAGTGGAAGTTTTCCGTGGAAATGGCGCGTGGCAAAAAACGACAGCACATGAAGCCACGAAGGTTGACGTGGTTCAACCGAAAGTGAGTCAAATGAAGTTATTAATTGTTTTTCCGACATTGTTTACAACAGAAGAATGTTGCAACACTGGCGGAGTGAATTAAGCGATGAACAATTTCGCTCTCCTCGGGCGCTGAGGCGGCGGAAAAGTTTCTTGGCGGAGGTGTGAGGTGGGAAAATCCATGAGGTCATCGTTGCAGATGATGGCATCACGCTGAAGCGATCTCCAGAGCCGGCAAATATTGACTCTTGGCTCAATGATATCGCGCCGAGGGTGGCAACTTCTCAGCCCCAATCTCGAATTAAGTGTTACTTTTAAGCGATTTATTTAACTTGTCGCCAGGGTGTTTTCGGGTTTGTTGCTGTTGACACGGCAATTAGTGGCACGCTTAGCGGAGTTGGGTGTGAATGGAAAATCTTGGACGTGCTGTCGGATGTGGAGATTTGCAAATGGGGGGAACTCAATGAGACGACGACAACACGAAGCATGGTGCGGTCTTGCTGGCAGAAAAGTAATTATTCAGCCCATTCCACGCTTGTTAAGGCACAGCAACTATATCGAGAGCTTCGTTGGCGGTCGTGTTTCGTCAAGTCGTGCGGATTTCAATTGAGATATTAATGCAAATTTCTTTAAGCTCCCCAACAACATACTTTGCAAACTTATGTCGCTTTTTTTCCCTTGCCCCAGAGGGAAAACTTTTCAAGTGTCATCAGGGATAATTAAAGAAAATGTGTGTGTACGCCCAAAAGTCAAGGGGGAGATAATACAGTCAGAAGTGGTGTACAGATCAGAGGAAGTACTTAAGAAGTGCTCAAAAGCTTACAAAATTCCAATCCTGAGTGCTTCTTTTATTGATAAATTATACCAATTCTTTGGATTTCCTTCGATTTTCACACAGAAACAATCATAAAAATCTTTTTATAGGTTATGTAACGAAACACGGACAGATTTAGAGAATAATTCGCTTTCTAGCACATCAAATTAAGGCAGAATTAAGCGTTTACATGCAAGAAACAGTGCTTTTCTGAGCCTTTGATGCCAAGAAACACTGCAATTTGCGTTAAACTCAAACATAACCTCAAAAATAGTCATGAAGAATTGAAAAATGTTCATTTAAAAAGCTTTTTGGACAATTTTGACTCTCAATCAGCAGTTTTCAGTTCATTTTGTGATCTAGAAAGCTTTGAAATTGAGTTTTTGAGGATTTTTTCGATATATTTTGAGGTTATGGTCGGAAAAGGTGACCAAAAATGTGTTTTTTTTTAGTAAATTCTTCCAGAAATATCGGATGGAAGCTCAAGAGAATCATGCTTTTCAGGCAAATTTGGAAGTATTTGGAAATTGTGTACAGATTAAGGGTGTATTATATCCCCCTTGCCAAAAAGTGGTGGCATAGAAACTATTAAAAAGTCCCCAGAAAGCCATTGATCTACCCTCGAGTAATCCTACTTCTCAATACACTTTCGCTTCGCCATTTTGGCGGCATTCGTCCTAAATTGATCCATTCAAATCACAACAAAAGGCATAAAACACTGCCTGAACATCTTCACAAAGGGAGGAAAGAAAGAAAAAAAAAAACCTAATTTATTTAATGTCCTCTCGTTGGAGTGTTTATTCCATCTGGCAAAGAGTGGCCCGAAGAATCAATATCTCGTGGCCAAAGTATCAAATGGTAGAAAATTGATTTGTAAAGTGTTTTATATTGTCACAAGTTTTATGAGATTCGATTACCCCAGAGGACAAAGTCTCCTTGCAATGGTGAGAAAACAATTTATTCCATCTCGCCTCAGAAACCCACTTATTGCAGTAATGCGAAGCGCCACTGAGGAATTTTCTTTTTCTCCACCGCCAGAGAGAAAACTTCTTTTGAGCATTTTCAATTGTTCATGTGACATCAAGTTGCACAAACAATTTATCATAATGTCAACATTCTTCTGGGGCAAACAGCAACAGTATGACTTTTCCATAATAGGGACAAGAATGCATTCGCTCAACAACACCATCATTAACCAATGTTGCCAAGGGGATAGAATCTCTGACATTTTCCACTGCGGTTTGTACTGGGGAAATTGCCAGATAGCTCTACTCTCCACCGAAATCCCTCTGGCGAGTCCTTTCTCCCACTCATCTCGTGAATTTTCACAGGGGAAAAAAATAGCACTCATCGATTAAACAGACACCCAAAAACCCTCAATCTCCCTAATTCTTCCCATTTGCCATCACGATGGGAAATTACTCATCATCACATTCAGTTAAATATTCAACTCATACACCATATTAACTATTATTAATGACTTTTTATATTCACTTTGGCTCCTTTTTTTTCACCGCATTTTAAATGGAAACATTTCGTATTCCAAACCGTCCTCATTAGTGGGGAAAAATACACCACAAAAAAGCCCATCAAACCATGTAAATTTATGGTGAATTCTGTGTGATCCAAATTATGATGATTTAATGATTGAACGGCTCTCTGCATAAATAAAGCATCGCGCGGCTGTGAAGTATTTTGTCCAGAAAGAATTTATGTGTCAATAAAACAGATGTATTAAATGCAGAGCATCGCATGAAAAGATAATCCAGCGATTGGCTGGAACCCATTAAATATACACCCACACGCCACCCCCACCCCCCCGACAGGCGAATGGGGATGAAATCAAAGTCATAACTCGATGGTTTATCAGGGTTGAATCTCTCCGCATCTCATGAGAACAAAGGCAAATATGGGAGAGTCGGCAATGATAAGGGTTTCCACGAAACTTTTAGGCTGGGAAATTGCGGCAGGATTGAGGATGGTTTTCTGCCATCTAATAGGATTCAATTGATTGTTATTTCAATATTTTATTTCGCATGATTCTTCGAGGAGAACCCTTGAGAATTCATGAGAACCGAGAGCCTCACAAATGACGATGGATATTTGACGATGCTTGGTTTTATCCGCTCCTTTTCCACTGAGAGAGAGAGGGAGGAAAGTGCATTAAAAATTTCCCAGCCACAACTGCCTCTGAGTCACACAAGTCCAATGAGAGAGGGACATATGCTCGTCCTGGACAAAATTGCTCAATGTTTCAGCGACAATGTGAGAGCATGCGAAGGAGGAAATAAATAAAATGGGTATAAAATGGATGAGAGACGGAAGAAGGCTCTTCTAAGGACGAGACTGCTGCAAATAATGTCTCCGGTGGAGAGAGAGAAAGTGAGGACAAATGAGATCCTTCTCCGCCTGTGATCCCGACATAGTCTCACATTCGCATTATTGGGCACAAATATACGGGGGTTTGGGGCGCTTTTCGGGGGCGCTCAGTCACACACAAGACAACAATCGCTGTACGTGCAAATGTGAAAAACACGGAGGAAATGACTCCCTTTATTGCTCAATTGATGTGAGAAAATCTGTTATTAAGAGCTTTATTGGTAATTCCGCACCGTTCGTATTCGGTTCATCTCACATTCCTCATCCCCCCCCTTTGGGGACGAAAGGGAGGAAATTGAGGGGCACCACGGATGAAAACGGAGAGATTCACACCGACTGATAAGTGCCTGAATTTGGCCTTCTTCACGCCTGACTTCTCGTCACCCATTGAGAAATTGATAACTTCCACTCGTACGTGGGATTTGGCGCTTTTTAATTTCCCACCAAATTGTGTGCGAATTCGCCTCTTAACTCGTTATTAAATCAATGCGTGAATATTCAATAATGCTTTTATTTTCTCGTAAAATATTATTTGCAAAATGCGCTCTTTAGTACAAAATTTACACTAAAGATCACATTGCGTTGGATATGATTTAATGTGGTTTTTTTTTCAGCCAGTATTGTGGTTATAAAATGGATTTAGAGCTGGATATTCAGAGTCTTAATTTGCTATCCTTTTATGCAAATTCCTCAACATTTTGCAATATCTCAGCCACAAAATGAGATATCGCCATGATCTCAGCGTCATTTGAAAGAATATGAAATTCGCATCATTTTTTGTCTTAAGATAAATGTCTCGAAAATCGAAAGAAATATCGAATTTTTAGCATCAAAAGGGAAAATTAGCCCAACACAAGGGGTAAATCACAGAGAATGCAATCTTTGCAATCTCAAGCTTAAACCACAATTTCTAGTAGAAAATCTGAGGATAGATTTTGGAATATTTGTGAATTAATATTATAATATTTGTGGATAATTTTTAGAAAATCTGAGAATGATTATACAGAAAAAATGTCTAAAATCTATCCACATTATTAAGATATAAAAATCTTTTTTTTTTCTTTTTTTACTAAAATCTAAATTCTACCGAATTTCTAGAAAGTACTTTGGAATTCTTCTAAAACCACTTTTTGTAAAATTTATCAAATTGTTAATAAAAATCTGACCACTTTTTGCTAAAATCTATCAACTTTAAATAATACCTTTTAATAATTACTTAAGATAGTTTAGATAATTTTCAGAGAAATGCTTAGTCGAATAGGAACACAATTTCCAGAAAATCTACCCGAATTGAACTCAACGCAAGCATTCCTTATGTGTCCTAAATTAACTTTCGCCACTGTATATCGCGATTACGCAACAAAAATTACGATCAATTTAGCGATTGAGCAATCAGCTTCTGTTTTGGATAATAAATTTGTTTGTCTTAAATTCTTTCGCGCAAAAATGTCTATGATTTCATTCTTATCTCCAGTTAGACGAATACACGCTTGCGGCTATGTTTGATAAGAAGCCCCCAGATGGGCACTTTGCCTATCACAATTGACTTTTATTGCTCTTCAGTCTCTAATGCTTTAACGAGTCACAATTCACGATCAGTTCCATTGGAAGTGTCTCTGAAGGTGGTCAGAATGCCTTTTGTCTGCGAAAAAGTGTCCGAAAGTGAAGTCGGGAAGAAATCTCACTACGTTGGCGTGACGGATTTCGCGTGGGTCACTGCAGACGCGCGTCCTCGTGAGGTTGGTCAGGAGTGGCGAATGGATCCGTGCTTTCTGCCTGTGTTCTTTCGCGAGAAGGCGGCTGAGATTGAGGACTTTGTCGTGTATCCGGACGACACTTGGGTCCTGTCGTATCCCAAGTGCGGCACCACGTGGACGCAGGAAATGGTGTGGCTGATAAATAACGGCGTGGACGTGAAGGCGGCCCAGGAAGTGCCCCTAAACACCCGATATCCTTTCATTGAGTGCGCAGAGGTGGCTTTTGTGAGGAGTTTTGGCTATAATGTGGCATTTTCGTGGCAGGATGTGCACCCTTTTGCCGGAGGACTTTGACGTTGATCAGGACAGCCTGCAGAGAGGAAAGAGCGCGCCTCGTCCGCGTCATCTCAAGAGTCATCTGCCCGCCCACTTGCTGCCGCGGGCAATTTGGCAGGTGAAGCCCAAGATAATCTACGTCGCGCGGAATCCGAAGGACGTTTGCGTCTCCTTCTACCACCACTACAAACACCTCCATGGCTACGCGGGGAGCTTCGAGGACTTCGCCGAGGCCTTCCTCGCTGATCACGGTGCGTTTGGGGCGCGCCCGAGAGGGAGAATTAAATATTAACCATCAATCTCTTGCGTCTCTCAACAGTAATTTACTCGCCCTTTCACAGTCACATTGTTGACTTTTGGACAATGAGGCACGAGGACAATATCTTGTTCATCACGTTTGAGGAGATGAAGAGAGATTTGCGTGATGTAATTCTGCGAACGGCCAAGTTTCTCGGCAAGACGCTGACTGAGGATGAGGTTCAGCTGCTCTGTCGCCACCTCTCGTTCGATGCCATGCAGAAGAACAAGTCGGTGAATAAGAAGGACGTCTTGGCGGAGATGAATGCCATTACGGGCAGTGAGAGCAGCGAGTCCTTCTCATTTATTCGCAAGGGACAAATTGGGGGCTTTCGTGAGCTTTTCACCCCTGAAATGGAAGGGAAATTCAACGACTGGACGCGGCGACAACTCAGCGGGTCGGACTTCAAATTTGACGTATAGAAGAAAAGTGTGGGTGGCCATGAATATGTACACAATAAATTCAACCCTCCACGCTTCCCAATTATTTATTGTCATCAATTAATTCCCAATTCCGGAATCAATTATATGAGCGCCGTATGGAAATTCTATTTATACTGGATTATATTGGCGGCTTGCGTGTTGGTTTTTCTTTGCCGTCACTCTTGGGTGGTTTTTCTTTTCTTTGTTTCTGACGCGTCGGGGGGATTTATTGGGTGGAAAGGGCCCATAAAAGTAAGCAGAGGACAATAAACAGGTGTCCTCGTTAGATCATTGCGAGGATTTTGAGAAGAGGGTGGTTAAAAACACCCCCCAATTTGAATCTACAACCAAGGGGAAGATAATATAATCAGAAGTCCTCATTTTGACATATATTTCTAGGTTATGTCACTCATTAAAGACTAAAAACCATGTAAAACTAGAAACTCTCGTGCCTAAACTGAAAATTTATTCACTTTATTGGTAGAATTGCGAGTTTTTATTCAATGAAAATCATGATTTTGGAAGTTGAAATATTAAAAACAATTGTTAAGTCAAACCTAACCTCAACTTTGGCCTAATCAGTAGCAATTATGATTAAAAATGCTACTTTAAAGGATGAAAATCACAAAATATTGTATGGAAACGTGAATATTAATGTTTTTAGTTACTTTTCAGCTGATCTTAAGGACAATAAAACTCAAATTTGGCTCAATATCAATGATTTCCGCCTCTTTCAATGTTCGCCGAAGATTTTTGACAAGTTTTAAGAATTTTTCATACGATTTAAGAATCGATTTTGTGTACTTCTTAATTTTGACGTATATTTTCTAGGTTATGTGATTCGTTAATAATTAAATAGAAGTTTCCAAAGTGCTATCAAAAGCAGAAAATCATCAGATATTGTGTAAAAAATCCGCAGAACAGTTTAAAAAACAGAGTTATAAATTTGACAGTTGCATTTTAATCTAGTTTTGAAAAATATGTAAAGTCTGAAGTCCTTGGAAGTGTTAAGGATTCATTTTTAAAATTGTGGTGTACAAATTATCCGCTCCTTGTCTAGAACACTTTGAATCTGTAACAGAATCGAATACTTTGCGACCTTGTCTTGTGATTTTCTTGCGGAAAGTCTTAGGAGCGCTTCTCCCTTTTCACCAGTGGGCGATTGGAAATTTAAATAGCGCCTAATTGCAGGAGTTTAGACGCCAAATGACCCCATTAACACCGCTAATAGAGAGACCCTGAGGGAGTGATAAAAATGACTTTCATTGATTCTCAAGTCGAGTGCGGAGGAATTTGCGGAGCAGAACCCCTGATGGGCGAAAGAAGTCCCCTGATTAATGGCCATTGAGTGGGAAATACGTAATTTTCTCGGTCATTTTCCCACTGTGTGTGTGTGTGTGTGATGCTCCAAAAGTGGAAAACAAATATACTCTGTCCACCCATAATTGCTGATAACAGCACAAGAAGGTTGTTTATTGTAAGTCATTGGCGGTGTAATTTGAGACACATGTTTGACCTGGGGAGCACTTGAGGCAAATTAAATTGTACGTCATTTGTTTAAATTGCACCCTGGAAAGGGTGGAAATCTGCGTGCGGTGCTCGATAAGGACTATCCGCAGATTGTGTGGATGAAGGCAATAATTCGTGGTGGAGAAGGAGGGAGAAAAAAAACACCCCAATTGAGACTTTCCCCTTCTGGCTCTGCGTCCTATCAATTCTCCTTGATAGCACAGATGGCTCGAGTGGATTCACAATCGTTTAAACTGCGTTTTGCCGATTTTTATTCCCCATCCCCCATTCGAAAGGCGCGCCCTGGGTGAGTGAGGGCTTCGGGGGGCGAAATGTTAAATTGCTACAATTCACATACACTGTGGAGGACTCCTAAGGCTGCGCTGTGGGTGGAAGAAGCTCTCGGATCTCTGTGACAATGTGAGTTACAAGCCCAAGAAGTCGTACAAATATGTGAATGATGCCATCTTCCTTCCACTACATATCGCCTTGGTTAGCAAATGGTAGCAGACAAGGGGCAGATATTACGATTGGAAGTGTTTAATAATTGAAAATGATAAAATATATCGAATATTTGCACTGTAAAATCTTCTATTTCAACAAATTGAGACATTTTCTACATAATTCTGTTTAGAAAAATCAATTTTATTGCCTTTTCTAGGTTATGTGATTGATTTATAACAGATTCAGGTGATTAAAAAATCCTGTAAATCATAAAAATTGTGATTAATCAGAGATTATATCCTCTTTTTCTTGGTAAAGTTGACCTTTTCCTGTTTAAATAACTTCACATTTGGTAAGAAATAGCTTAGCTGTCAATCATAACCTCAAAAATTGTCTTTTTTTTTCAAGTTTTTGGCAAATTTAATGTCATTATCTTGTAGAAACATTGTGTTCTTCGTCATATTCACTAATTTTCCAGGTGTAAAAACATTCAAATTAGGTGAAGAATGATTTTTAAGCCGTATTCATAACCTCACAATTTGATCAAAATAATTTTTTTTGCATTCTCTAAAGCAAAAGTAGAAAATCAAGACCCAAATATGCCATGAACGAATAAAAAAACATTAAAATCCATTTTTTCAATTCAAAATCTAAGGATTTGAAGAGCTTAAATGTCTTGAGACGAAAAAATCTGGATTAGATTTGTGATAAATCTGTATTTCGTGTAGAAAACAGTTGAAGAAGTGTAAGAAATGCTTTCAAAGACGTTCAGAAGTGTCTGAAGATTCTGCAGAGGAATTGTGGAAGTGTCAGGACGTGATGTACAGTGTTCAGACATATTATCTCCCCCTTGGTTAGGAGAGTTTGATTGCTATAGTCGGGAATGACATGATTTGAAAGAGGCGTTTTTCCCTCCATCGCACCAACATTTTTCTTACCATTGCTTTTCCCGCATTCCCCAAACCATCCATTACATCGCCTCTATTGCGCTCTTTGCAACCCATTTTTCCTTCCTGGCAAGAGATATTCCTTTTGATGGGCAAAAGACGGAGAACTCTGCACTTGAATTCAATGACAATGCTCAGGAATTATTTTTTGAATCTTGCGGGTTTGAGGAGGGGAAAAGTGGGACGCATTTCCCACCAGGCAATCGATTGCACTATTCTTTCCTCCCTCACAAGGATGAGGAAAAAAGAGGGGTTTGATGGTGGAACAAGAGGTGAAACTTTTCACCAAGTTGGGTGAAAAGAAATGAGAAACTATCTATTTACTCTCTTCAATGTCAAGCAATAAATCCCCATTGAGAATTACCTTTCCTGGCTGTGCCTCGGGTGGATTTTCTCGCGTCATCATTTATCTCCCCCAGGTTGATGGAAAAAAGTCCTTCAAATTGAAAGAATTGCTGGGAAATCCCTCGTGACGGTGGTGGGAAAAAAATTTGCCGAATTCATCCTTCATATATTCGACAAATTCCCCAGAAAGTCTCTTTCTCTCTCGCGTCAAGGATATTTTGTGTGTGTGCGACAAAATTGGCGGCAAAAGCGGCGGAGAAACCATTTAAATGGAGGGACTATTAAAACTTTCAAATTTAATTACAATGCCGCCTCCCTCTTGAGCAATGATAAATTCATTATAATGATGTATTCTGCGAATACAAGGCATCACAGGAAAATCAACTACACACAGTGCGACTTGGGGAGAAGGGCTGAAATCCTCTCAGTGCTTTTTAATTAATTTATTAAAACCCACATACAATTGCATTTCAATGAACACCCGCAGTGAAAACTCCCCCGGAAAAGCCAACGACAAAGGCATGTGTCACACACAGTTATTCCATCGTATTATTTACATTTTCATGATGATGTCGAAATTAGTATGGATGAGGATTATGTCATTTTGACACGGAAGGAAAAAGTTGAGGGATTCCTTCGTGCATGCGAAGTCGTGTGTGTGCATCTTCAAGATATTCTCCCAAGTTAATTGAGTCCTTGATTAATATTCTGATACAGACGCTGAGGTTGTCGCAGAGCACTTCTTCAGGTGGTCTCTCTTTGAGGCATCTTTTCTCACGGGGGCGGGGACTTTTTGCATTCGCTGCACGAATAAATATGAAAGTCATCAGTGGAACTTCTTCTTTCCCAAAGTTTCACTGCGCGAAGAACGGCAAGGGATATTCTGGGGACACACAAAAGGTACACCATGGATTGCAACCGCATTATTCCATTAGGCTTCAGCGAAAATTGCACTTGATGCAAATTGTGTAAGAGCGTTTACAGACTTGCTGATGATCCACGAGAGGATAAGCGAGAGCGCGAGTGTGTACGACTGACAGTTCGCTTAGCCAGAAAACGCGAATAATCCCTCGATATATCGAAGGTTCAGCCGATTTTTCAGGGGTTCGCGACGGCAGCGCGCTCGTACGAAAATGCGCCGAAACATTGTACGACTCAGGAAAGACAAAATGGCGTATCTCTTGCGAATGATTTCCTGGATTATTAAAATCATTAAATTCTTCTCTCCTTTGAAGTATGCAAATTCACTGACAGCTGAACACACCAAACACAGTGTCGCTAGTGTCGACAAAGAAGTATAATTCCTGAGTGTATACGGTGACAGTTCAGCGACGAATATCACTAATCCATATTTTGAGTGTGTAAAGATGCAGATCAACCACGAATTATCGCTGATCTGACCTTTACACACTACAGGCTCATCCACGGAAGATTGATCCGAGTTCGCGCCGATTCGTGGATCATCAGCAAGTCTGTAATCGCTTTTAGCCTCAAATCGACGCAAACTTGGATCAATCCTCCGTGGATAAGCTTGGAGTGAGTAAAGATCGGATCAGCGAAAAGTTGTGGTTTTTCTTCAGCTTTACACACTTAAATATGTATCAGCCATAATTCGTAGCTGAACTGGCGCTGTTCACACTCAGGAGTTATTCTTCTTTGTCGACACTAGCGACAATTTTACTTCATGTTCCGCTCTGAGCTGTCAATTGACTTGTTTCTTTAATCAAAAAGCGTGAAATTTTACGATAAAATTGCGAAAATGGAAGATTAGGGGAAGAAATGAATGCTTTTGAG